CCAGGTGTGGATGATGCCACAGCAGTGGATGATGTCCCAGCAGTTGATGATGCCCCAGGTGTGGATGATGCCCCAGGTGTGGATGATGTCCCAGCAGTGGATGATGCCCCAGGCTTGGATGATGCCCATCTGTGAATGTCCCTGATGTCTCAGCCATGGATGATGATTCAGCTGTGGATGATGCCCCAGCCATGGATGAAAGCCAACAGTTTGTTTTCAGAAAGTCTAGTACACAAGTCATTAGTGAGATTTATCAAGAAAAAAGGGAAATCACAAATTAATATCAGAAATTAATAGGAAGACATAACCACGAGAGAGTAGAGATTACAAACAATGAGTGGACATTATGAATACATAACTTGTTTTAAAGCAACATTTTGTTTCACTTTGGCTGGTGTTCATGTGCTGCAGTAGCCGGCCAATAGTGGGAGTCTCCTCATGGAGGAGGCTTGGGTTGAGGCTGAGGCCTTTAACCCGCATGCACAAGAGAGTTGCCATGAGGGGATGGAAACCAGGCTACAAACCAAGTGCTGCACAGAGTTCCTACCTGTCCCTCTCCCTCACCATTTTCAGCTGGCCGGGTTTGAGCATTTTAGGGCTTGGGAAGATATTACTACATCTACTAAAAATCATCACGGATCCTTATGTGCTTTGGCCAGCTGCTGAGCAAATTAACTTCACACCTGAAGTGGGCCGCACTGGCCTGTGCGGTCCCCCACTCCTCTTAGAATTTGTGAGCTTGGGGCCTGCTGGAGGGTGGACGGTGGGAGGAGGGGGAAGATCAGGAAAATAACTGATATTAAGCTGAATACGTGGATGATGAAATCACCTGCACAACAAATGCTTCATGACGCACGTTTACCCATGTACCAAACCTGCTCATCCCGCACAGGTTCCCCTGAACTTAAAAATTAAACAAAAAACGACCTGTGAGCTGACCCAAACAAACATCTTTGTGCTTTTCACACTGATGACTATGCCGGTCTGTGGGGAGATGTATGTAACTGCCCTGGGTTGTGTGACCATGGAGGCCACTTTATAACCATGGGCAGTGTCTGGGAATTCCTTAGGGCTTAAACACGAATGCTGGACTCCCTGCATGGTGGTCAACACCCCATGACTGAGAGCATGCCAGTAGTTGCCAGTGTCAGCACTGGCCTAGACTCCTGGGTTTGTGTTTTCACTTTTTCATTCAGGAACTCAGGAGCTGGGGCCACCCCCTGGCCCTTCAGGTTCTCCACCTGAGCTGTGAGGATAATAAACCAGACCCAGGGATGGCTCTGTGAGGGTGGAGGAGTCACTGTACAGACAGAGTAGAGTGGGGCTGGATTTTATTCTTTAAAAGTAGACACCGGAGAACGGGCTGTGTAAATGGGAAATCTCTCCTGAGAAAACACACAGCCTCACCTGCACAGAAGCACACACGTTCACATCACATGATGCAGCCTCACACAAGACACCACCAATCCTAGAGCACCCAACTCAGTACCAGCCAAAAGGGAGCACAGATGCTGCCTCAAAATTTGGCCATGATTTTTCCCCGGGGAACTCAGGTTTCTAAAAAACACTTTCACTATGCTTATTCCTATCACAATCCCAGAATCAGCGTGGCACTGCACATTGAAACCAGCTTTTTTCTTGACAATAATTCCAGAATACTTACCAGAGTCACACTTCAGATAAAACACCGGCACTACCTGCAACACAGAAACAAAGCTTTATGAGGGGCACGTCGTGCTGTGGATTGTTTGCAAAAGGTTCTGTTTCTCTCAATGAATACTGAAAACCTGATCACAAACTTAGTCAGTTGCTACAGTAATCAAAACAGCACGGTACTGGTACCAAAACAGAGATGTAGACCAATGGAACAGAAAAGAGGTTCATTGGATGGGACAGAATGGGAGGCCACAGAAGCCTGGGATAGATTTCATGTCCCCACAACACAGCAGTGAGCACACTTCATGGCGTGCTGATGCTTACTGAATGTACGACTGAGGTGATTGTTTGATTGTATGTTTTTATTCCAAGAGGCTCAACAACATGCTCTATGGAAGCATGATCCTTCAAACGCACTCATCTATCCTTTCAGTAATTTTTCACTCCCTCAGCCAAGAGCTTCTCCATCTGGGTTTCTGCAACACCAATCTCAAACCCATAAAGCATGGGTCACAGCAACCCCGCTAAGCTCACACGCCCAGCTGTGGAAGCAAACTTCACTTTATGGCAAGTCTACTTTGCCACTACAGGCAGTGCAGCATGTTAGTTTATAGATTAGCCTTTGGTGTTAGAGAGGTCCAGCTGTGGGTGTGTCCCATGAATAATTTACTTAACTGAGATTCACATTCCTCATCTGTATAATGAATAGAACCAAACTATGCCTCAAAGTGATTGTGATGCTTCAAAGAGGCAACATAGAAAAGTGACCACATAGTATCCAAGACTCAAATGTGTATCACTTATCCTTTACATTTTAATAACTTAAGCAGCTGTTATCACAGTCATGTGGCATAGTGACATTTTGATCAATGATTACTTACATGGCTGGGGTCAGATGGGCGTACACAAACCTACTGGCCTGCATCATTAGATTAAAAGAAAATTTTTTGTTAAAAATTTTAAGTAAGATGCTATACAATTGAAAGACTAACCACAGTGATAGAAGTTTCAGGGAGAGATAAAACTAAAAGTGCACAAGGATTTGGAGAAATGTCTCCTCACATATGCTGCCACAGGAGCATGAATTAGTGACACCATTTTGAAAAATATTTGGCACTATTCATGGCAATAAAAGATATGTTCCCTTCTAACAATCTACTTCACAGAAGTGAGTGCCAGTATTATTCCAAAGCCGGTTACACTTACGAACGTGAATGAATTTCAAATCATAATGTGAGTGAAAAGCCAGACTCCAAGAATCACATATTGACTTATTCTATGTATGACAGTCCAAACCTGGAGAGGTCTAAACAAGTCATTAGCAGTCAGAGCAGGAAGAAGATGAATAAAGGGGGAGGGAAATTTCAGGGAGGAACCAGGGATGTCTGCACTTGTGCCATCTCACCCTCTCAGATGTCAGGGTCCCAAAAGAGGGTGCTGGCAATATTTAGGTGGTTCAAAGGTCTCATGAAGAAAAGCAAATGACAGACAGCAGCAAACTCAGTTCTTTAATGAAGTGCCCCAGACTGAATCGAGGGTGTGCACTTAGTTTTGCATCTTATTATGTAAAATGAGGATCCTCCAGAGATAAAAATGTCATCCATAGCACAGCATGGACAGAATTATATGCTATCAGCACATTTTATCCTATGGAGTTTCCTGCACACCTTTTAGCAATCTGTGAATAAAAGGTCCAGAACTTAACTTTTAATATCAACTTAGAGAACAACGGAAGCCTAATTTTTGAAGACAGGAAATAGTGTAATGCCATCTTCTGTGGGAAGAAACTCTTCGTTTCCCCAAAATTACAGAACTGGAGAGAAAGACAGAATCTGTGGTAGGGGTGGGAAGTGGAGGCTACAAATGTGCTCAAGGTCAGACTCCTTCTCTGCCTTCCCAGGAGACTGGAGACCTACCAGCGAGCCCAGAGTGAACATTCACTCTGCCATCCACCCCTGGGAGATCCCTTTAAACCCACAGAGAGGACAGAAACATAAACGTGCTATAACAAGTCTTAAAAGTTCAGAGGGTGATTATCAATTTCCCCTTAGCACACAGCAGAGTTTTTTCTCTAAGTTTCAAGTAAATGCCTGTGAGAAAGATGCTCCCACAGATTCCTTCCTTTCCTTACAGATGACTCTCAATGCCCAGCCCTACATCCCTTGTGCATATTCCCAAGGAGTGCTGATTAATCCAAACCAAAGGTTTGGATGTTTCACTGGGCAGAAAAAAGCAGGCGTACTGCAGAGATCAACTCTAATGAACACAGCACCCTCACAGCCCAGAGACACAGTTCCTACCTTTATGACGACAAACCAAACCTCGCACACATTTTCATTTTCTTTCTGATTTCATACCCCCTGCTTCAGCCCCTCAAGCAGTGGGGATAACCTGAAGGTGAAGACTCTTAGGAACCCTTTCCCATTAGGTCCTACCTGGAAAGTAATTCCCTACCTTGGGGATCGTCTTCCTTTGCTTTGAAGACGCTCCCAAGCCAGCCTTTAAAAACAAAAACATCAGGAAAAGTCATTAAAAAGAGAGACTCACCCACTCCTCTCCCAGAATCTAAAGCCATGTGGCCTCGCACATCATTCCCTGGTCTTTGTTCTGAGTCGATAAACCTTCCTACAGCCTCTCTGGCTGGAGTTCTACATTGGCCAAATCACTTTCTCTCAGGAGACCCCCAATCCTCCTTCCCAGCGGGATCCCGGAATCAGGTTTCTATACGCTCAAGCGGCCAGTTGGTCCCTCATGATGTGAGTTACTTCATGGTACTTACTTTTCACCCTTTTCTGGGATTAAAAGAAAACATTATGAGGCTGAGACTCTGTGGTGTGCCTCACATAGATCTGTTATTCCCTTGGCAAGGGTAGAGAACAAGAAGTGGCACAGCGGCTGAGCCATAGGTCAACATCCTCAAAATCATGAGGATGCTTATGGAAAAACAAGCTCTTTATTCACAGAATTCACCTTTAAAGTCGATTTAATGGGCAAACACACAATGCTTAATCCAAGGAGGAAAATGTGTTGAGGAAAGTGCCTCTGCATTACAGCCGATAATGGATGCTATCATTTGAAAACCTCCCAGTGTATTGCATGTTATTTGGGAAGACATTCCCACTGAATTTCACCCCCACAAAGAGAATTGCATACACTGTACATAATGTACATTTTCAGATTTTCATATCCAGATTAATTGAGAAGAAATCACAAAAGCGAAATTTCTTTAGAAGACAAAGGAGTCTTACGTAGAGGTTTTCCTCCTCCAGATCTTCTTCCTCTGTCTGGGAGACCGTGCTCGCCAGGTCACTTGACGACACTGGAAGTACACAGAAAAAAGCTCAGTACCCTGGTGGTTGGTGGCTGGGATATGGAGGTGGGTGATGATCAGGCATGGACTGAGTTGCTGATGGGCTGTCCCCCTGGGTGGAAGAGGGCTGGCAAGGGAGGGCAGCGGGAAAGAGATGAGACATGGAGGTCTCCGCCTCATACTAGAGGCATCATGCAGCAACACAGAAGAGTCAACAGAAAAGGGAATCTCAAATGCACACTAAGGTTCAAAGGAAGAGTGCCTTCCTACCTCTCACACGTTTTGAAGCTCTTTAAAAAAACAAACAAACAAACAAAAAAAAACAGCACATTCAAGACTACGTCAGTACTCTAGGACCCAATCGTGCTGGTGCTACATTTAGCATCAGTTTTAAAGATGCATAATAAAAACCTGGGTCTACCCAGCCCCTTATCTGAACCCACTTTCTTCTATTGATTCCAGGTTTTCGATCAAAAAATCTTGAAATCTTCCTTATGACCTGGAGCCCCAACCTTCTCCCAATTTCTGTTGTCCCATCTTTCTCAATGGAAGAAATTGACATCTCGAATGTATTAACTGATGTCTTATGTCTCCCTAAAACATGTAAAAACCAAACTGTAGCCTGATCACCTTGGATATATGTACTCAGGACCTCCTGGGGCTGTGTCGCTAGCATGTCCTTAACCTTGGCAAATTAAACTTCTAAATTGAGACTGGTTTTAGATAACCTTTTGGTTTGCAATGTGTAATCACAGTGAGGTTTATTTTTTCGAAGAGGACACTAGGGATTTGTTGTGTCAAACAGAAATAACAATATATGTTTATGTGATTTATGTCCCAGGAACATTTTTCCATTTATGGATTCACATGAAGGAAAACGGCTGTCACATAAATGGCTGTCGCTGCAGTTCTGTTTTTTAGAATTTTCAATCCTTGAATAAAAGCTAAGTTGATCAGACTCAATTCTAGGCAAAACAGTCTATTTTAGTTATGTACTGAACTTTTGTTATAGCCAATGATGGAAGAATTGGAAACATTGAAATTATATTCTATAAAACAACTGGTGTTCATCACACGAATATTTCCTTCTTCAGTCCACCTTTCCATTGTCATGCAGGTGCAGTAATTGCATATGGAGGATACCTATGCTCCTTTTCTGTCTTGTCATTGTGTCTAATTAATGTAGTTTGCAGAAGTTGATCATTTCTAGGTCTTGTGGTGATAAGAGTTTTCAGCTATCTCAAAAATATCCCATTCATCTTATTTGTTTGGGGCCAACTGCTGAGGAATGTCCCCAGCACTGAAGGGAGTTTCTCAATATTTCTAAGTACCGCTTCCTAATATTCAGAACTTGCACTTGACCCTGTTGTCAGGGGTATCTAAGGCAGTTCCGTAGTATTCACACCAATGGCCATGCCATATCCTGCAGTTACATTCACTGTTGTCTGCCCTAAGCCAGTGACTGCTGCAGCCATCTTGGAATCATAGGCAGTGTTTGGGATCTCTGTAGACTCATGTGTGAGGGAACCAACTTACAGCTACCCACAATGGTAGGGTTGAGAGCCATCCTCCTCAGGGTAATGACTGCAGTTCAACAATTCATTATCAATTCAGCTTTAGAGCTATAACCCTAGGTTCATATCTTGCCTCCTTCCTTTAGGGGCTTAAAAGCATGGGCACATTCATTAGCCCTTCAGTTTCTCCATCCAAGGGGTGTGTGGATAGTAAACAATCACTGTTTAGGTGAGCTCTGTAGCGAGGATTGAATGGGTTTATTAAAATAAACTGTGTATTGTAGATCTTCAGAATGGTAAATTAAAAAAGAACTGACTTGCTTGATATCTCAAAGCTTAACACATTCCAGGCCTGCACGCATACCCAAGAGATGAGCTCCCAAGTCAGGGGTGATGCCATAATGCACAACTGCTCTGTCCAAAAAATAGTCATTTCAACTTCTAACCTTGGGACAAAAGCATGAGATATGAGTATCAAAAATGCTTTTGGTGACATCCCAATTCCACACAGTAGCTACTTCTGAAAAAAAGAAAATGTAAGTGCATGCCGTCTACAAAATGAGTCAGTGACCTGATGAAAAATCCACAGAGACCTGGTCAAATGGAATGAACACCAGTTTACTTGGGGAGGAGAATTATCTACCATATTGGAAGGTTCCAGGCATGTGACATCATATCCTGTATGATTTCTTTCTCTTAAATGAAAAGTGGCTCAAACTGAGGCTGTTGCCAAGTTATGGAGATGACCGTGGCTTAGCCTTGGCAAAGTGCTCAGGATAGTGTCACGAGAGACCTGATTTGTGCCTTCCTTCCTTCTGAGGAGGGTAAAAGGGTGGGTGAAAGCATATTATTCATATCTCTGTACATAGGGAATTTTGAATAATCCACAAAAGTAAGTTTAAAACTATGTTTTCGTAGGTAAACTGGCCTAGACACTTATCAGTATGTATTTGGGAAAACTTGTGATATGAGTAGAAGTAACACGCTCTCAAATACTGTGAACTAAATATACATTTAGGCTGATGAAAGGAGGGAAGCCATGGGAATAGCAATATTAGGTTTTCTTCTTGTGCGTTTTCCTTCACATTTCCACATTCCAGATTCACTTCAGATTCTGAAGTCTAGAGTTTAAAAGATAACTGATGGTGGAAAGAAAGAAGCACAAGAGACGTCAGGTATGCAGAATCTAATCAGAAATACTGTATTTTACTCTATGGAAAAATAATAAACATACAATAGCATGAACAAAGAATTAAAACTATAAATGATGGAATAAGTAGGCAAAGTATTTCCTGAACGACCTTACTGCACCACTAATTGGAAGGACACCATTCAGTAGGTGAATATGAATAGACTTTCACAGTCACAATATGCCTGAGGAGAGGTATGAAGCTGAGAACTTCTTTCACATTCTGCATATGGAAAATCTACAAGGATGCTATTCATGCTAATAAATTCATCAAAATTGCAGAGTACAAGGTTAACACTCAAATGGCAGTTGTGTCAATATGCACTCAATATCAACGATCCAATAGCAAGATTACAAATGTAATTCCATGGATCATAACCTCTGAAATCATTAGATACTTAGGATCTAACCAATGAGATGAAATACTCATAACCTGGTAAGAACAGAATGTGACTGAAAGGAAGGAGAGAAGGTACAAATAAATGAAAAGGTGTCCCATATTCACAGACAGGAAGGCAAAAGCTGACTAATACACAATACTACAAAATGATCCAAAGATGCACAACAACTACTATCAAACTGGTAACAACCATATGTGCAGAAATAGAAAAGATAACCCAACATTTTTTTTGAATTCTTATATGTCTCAATCATAATAATGTTGAAAAAGAATAACGTTGGCAGATACGCATTCATGAGATTGAAATCTGAGAGGAAAAGATACACAGGGTCCTAGCACGGGGGCACCCGTTAAGTATTGGAAATATGGAATACAGATCCCAAAATTCAACGCATGCATACACAGCCAACTGATCTTCAACAAAGGTGCCGAGAATGCACAATGGGAAAATAAGGTCTCTTTAACAAATAATGGTAAAATCCATATTCTCATTTAAATAATGAAATTGAGCAGTGTGCTCAAGGGTGTGCTTCTTCCTCCATTTACAAGACACCAGAGCTTTGCAATGACCCCAGAGCAAATCTTCATCCTGTCCCCCATGCCCAGACTGAGCCCTTGATAGCAGGAGTAAATAACAAGGACAGACAAATGAATGTGCTGCCAGAAGGTGAGCATCAGTTCGTCCCAAGCATCTGGGCACACTGTGGAAGACTTGTTGTCTTCAGGATTAAGTAACTGCCATGACAGAACTGTGTCCCAAACCAAAGGCTTTAACATTTTGCAGTAGCAGAGGCAGAAAAGAGTAAATAATAAAGCAAGAACAGGGGACACACAAAAAGAAGAAAAAAAAAAGAAGAGGTGATCACAGACAGGGTACTCACACTTCTCACCACTATGACATTAAACTCTGACAAGAACAAACTTCAGCCACGTTTTCTTTTTCTTCTCTTTCTACAGGCTCACTCAGCCTCCCAAGCAGCAGGCAGAAGCTTGAAGGCTCCTGGGAACCTGCTTTATTAGATTCCACCTGTAATCTTGTTGCCTACCTGGAAAGGTGTCTTCTTCACTGTTGAGATTTTCCAGAATCCACTCTTTAGAACCACCAACAGCAGAGTAAGTCAGAGAGAGGTGCACTCACTTCTACTCCAGGTGAAGCCACGTCGGCTCACATAACATCCCCTGGCTGGTCCTCTGGGTTCACATGCATTCATACAGTCCCTCTGATCATAGTTATACACTTGCAAAATTATTTGCTCTCACTAGACCCCCAATATTCTTTAACCAGAACCCAGTATATGAAAAACAGCAAGTTTGTTCCACAGCAAGTGAGCTACTTGAGGGTACATACCGTCAACAGCGAGTGATGAACCCTGCAATTAGACAAAACAAGATGCTATGAGGATCAGATGAATTCTCCTGCACCCCCGCCCCCACTCCCACAGATCTGTCAGTCTTTTGATGACTTCAGGAAACTAGTTGTAAGACAATGGTTGAGTCAAAGGTCAAGAATCAAACATGCTAGAATAGAGGACACCTGTGGAAAAGACAAGACCTTTCCCACAATTTATCTAGAAGTCGATTTACATTGGCAAATACACAATGCCTAAACCAAAGAGGAAAACTGGTGTTGAGGAAAATTCCTCTGCGTTACAGTTGATAATGAATGCTGTCATCTAAAAACATTCTAAGATATTACATATCTGATGGGAAGACACTCCCATTGAATTCCAACCCCAAAAAGAGAATGGGACATGTCAGACATAATAGAAGGAAAGAAATCAGAAAACAAACAATTCTTTTTTCATTTCGTTTTCTTCTGAAGTTTAGGTTCCAGGATGCATGTGCAGGACTGTGCAGGTTTATTACACAGGTAAACATGTGCTATGGTGCTTTGCTGCATCTATCAACCCATCACCTAGGTTTAAGCCCCGCATCCATTAGCTATTTATCCTAATGCTCTCCCTCCCCAATCCCCACCTGACAGGGCATTCTTTAGAGGACAGAAAAAGGGGTTCTTACCTCACCATCTTCCTCACACTTGGGGCTCCTGCAATCCTCAGGAGGAGCTGGAGGGAGACAGAGTAAAAGTCAGTACCCTGGTGGCTGTAGACTGTGAGTAACTCAAGGAGCTTTGCTGGGTGTGGCATATGGAGTGTGGGACTGAAGATTCTGAGACCATCTCAGAGAAACAACTATGTTCAGATAGTACCGTGAGGGAGTCTCACCAGATATCTTTCATCTTAGACAATTCTCGCATTCCCAATTCCCAAAAGATATTAACCAATCAAAAAGCAAGGCTTAGATGTTTGCTGTGACATAGGCAGGAAAAACTGGTCTCCTGGGAAAAGTCATCATTAAATACCAGAGTAAGAAACGATGGTTACAAAAGCAGCCCACAAAGCCCATGGACACACATCCTCTCATCTCTATCTTATTAAAATCCAACAGAAATAATTCAGACCTCTACAGCTATTTTTTTTTTTTTTTTTTTTTTGGTTCTGGCTTCATAGCCCCTTTCCTAGGTTCCAAAGCAATGGGTGTAACCCAACTGCTCCCAGAAATACTCCTAGGGTAGTACTTTTGTTTTTGTTTGTTTGAGACAGTCTTGCTAACCAGGCACCGGGCTGGAGTGCAGTGGTGGGATCTTAACTGACTGCAATATCTGCCTCCTGGTTTCAAGCAATTCTCCTGCCTCAGCCTCCTAAGTAGCTGGGACTACAGGCACACACCACTGTAGTTTTAGTAGAGACGGAGTTTCACCATGTTGCCCAGGATGGTCTTGATCTCTTGACCTCGTGATCCGCCCACCTCAGCCTCCCAAAGTGCTGGGATTAATAACCTGAGCCACTGCACCCGGCCTAGGGTATCATTTTCTACCTGCATAAATTGTCCTATTGCAGCTTCCCTCATGGATGGTGTCAACTGGCCAATCTTTAGAGACACAAATCTCAGCAAGAAGTTATTTCGGAGAGTGACTCACCCACCCTCCTATTCCAGGTGAGGCCACACTAGATTACACGAGATCACCCTGAGCTTTCCTCCATGTTCTCAGATTCTCTCCAGACTCTGTGGAGCCAGAGGTTTTCAACAAGGCATTGCTTACACTTTCCAGCCTTCAAGTAAGAAAGAGAAGCTGAAGGAATCACCTTTCCATTTTTCCTTCTACTGGCCCATTATCAGTCTCACCTCCAATTACACAACCCTAGGATCCCAACTTTGATGTGCATGAGTGACGTGAGTCCAACAGTCAGATCCTGGGCCAGGCTCACAGCAGACATGCAAGACAGCATTCTGTGGGGATGGACATGCTCTCTGATGTACAGCTGCTGGGCCATGTACAATCGCATGGTGGCTGTTGTGATGAGGTTTTGAATATTTCATTGTATATATTTATTTAAGTATAAAGAGGTATATATATGACTGAGAAGCACACTAGATGGGACAGCTCCAGATATCCAGACATGAGGAAGACCCGACTCCCCTCTCCTGGTGTTTTTTGCAGAATCCTGTGCTGCTCTGATCTTACCACACATTTAGGGTTACTTCCTGAACATATGCACAAGGGCCTGTCACTGTGTGGGGCTGAGGATATGACAGTGAGGACAACATCCAGGTCCAGAGGGATTCCAGCAGGGATGCGCTTGCACCCAGTGGAAGAGCATGGCCCTGCACACCCTGTCCAGACTAGATCAGAGCAGCAGGATCAGAGGGGTGGGGTCTTCAGGAGCTCACCCTTATCTCCAGAGACCCTGACTCAGAAGCTGGGCAGGCTCCAGGTTGAGTGTGTGGCTAAACAGGCTGAGAAGGAAACCTTTCCACACCTGCACTAGAACCCAGCCCAGGGGTGACCTAGAGCTCATCCCAGGGGTGTGTTCATTAAAACATCCATGGAGCCTAAAAAGTGTCTGTCCCAGGACTGAGCTCTGGGGTAAAAACAAATGAGGAAGACACAGTCACTGCCCTGCGAGTAAATACCCATAGCCAGGGTTCCTCTATTCACCTGTGGGAAGACTCAGACTTTGAGGTGGAAGATTTTTAACCATCTCCAAAATAAGTGGAAACTGAGATGTTATGGATTGCACAGAAGAGTTGCAAGGATGACCTGGAGTCTGGGATCAGTCCCCAGCCCTTTGCTGAGATCACCCTGCACTGAAACTCATGTCCCTCCCTACCTGCCCTACTACTTTGGAGTGCTGCAGCTGCCCAGGCCAAATGGAAGACTCTGTCCAGTTGAAAAGCATTTCTGGGCCAGAAGACCCTTGGCCAACAGGGTCTACTGAAGAATCATTCCTCAGGAGATTTCCAGAAGAGGTGAAAAATAAAAACTTGTCTGTCTCAGCCCCAGGAAGATCAGGCCTGGGACCTCTCTGTGTCTGGTCTGACCCTGAGGTCCATTCCTACTGACTCATGTCCTGTCTGTTCCGTGTCAAAAAATGGGGACCTGATTCCTGTTCTGCCCCTCTCCGCAATGACACTCTGTTGGTATCATTGCCATCATCGCACAAAGAGATGGAGAAGACATGGGTCAGGAAGAAAGCTCCTTTCTCAAGGTATTTAGGGTGATGTTCACATCAAGCTTTCGACAGAGAAAGGCCAAGTCCTACTCACTCCTCCCCAGAAGGGGTCTCATATCCTGCCTGGGCCCCGGTGATGACGCTGAATGGATGCCCCTAACACTGCAACCTTGACATTCTCTTTTAACAATGTCCTTCTCATTTGTTTCCCCTCTGATCCTCTAAATCATGTTTCCCTTCAGGTCTAGCACAAGGCTCTCCCTTGCTCTCTCCCATGAAGCCCACTAAGCAGGTGTCCATGAATTCAGAGAACCTCAATGTTGGTAACACTGATATTTTCCTTGACTCACACACAGCAGCGCCCCCAAAGCACCAATGGGAAGCTTCGTCTAAAGATTAAAGGTGTCAAGGACAATCTGGTCATGAGAAAATCACTTCTGGGGTGAACAAGTGACATTGCACAACCAAACAGTTTCATTCTTTTGTTCCATTGGGAAAATACTGACACATACAAGACAATCAAATTTTACTGAAAAGCAAAGCATCTTCACAGAATGAATGCTCCAAAAAAAACCCCTCAAACCATCATGTGGTCTACTTAACATTGATCATGACTTAAAGCAGCTACCTTGGCTCTCTGTGTGAAGGTTTTCAGAAGGAAACAAAAACCTATTTCAACAGTAGAATCATGATGGAGATTCCACTGTCTAGAGCTGAGTTCTTCATGGAGACATCTGTTTCTCACAGCACACCCGAGATCCTCACACCTATCAGGAACCCGAAGCTAGAAAGGTTCTCCAGACAAAAGCAAGCAAGAAAATCACCCCTGACTTATCACCAAGATGTGTCATTAGGAAGAAAGTGGTATTAGAATATGTACAATGTTAGAGAGGGGAACAACACACACAGTGGGGGAAGTGGACGGGAGAGCATCAGAATAAAGAGCTATTGTATGCGGGGCTTAATACCTAGGTGATGGGTTGACAGGTGCAGCAAACCATGCACACTTTTAGCTGTATAACAAAGCTGCACATCCTGCACATGTATCCCATAACTTAAAATCAAATTTGATTTAAAATAGAAATTGCCAGAGAAGGCAAATCTAGAAAGTACCTTAGTGGCTACCTAGGGCCAGAAGTGTGGGCCTTGGGGAAAAAGAGAAGTGACTACTAATGGCTTTCTGAGGAGAAATTAAAAAATTCTAAACTTAGATTGTGACAATGGCTGCACAACCCTGTAAATATAGTAAAAACACTACATCACCCACTTTAAACAAGTGAATAGTTTTGCATGTCAACTCTGTGACAATAAAGCACTTTATGAGAAAAAGAATACATACGGAGGTCATTTGGGGCTGTCACGGAGTCCTGCAACAAGAGAAAAACAAAGCATCTTAACATGCGGGGTGTGGTTGGTGCAGATATTTATCATGGTGACATTAGAAAACCACATGTCACTGGTGCCCAAATGAAGCATGTAAGATGCCTCTGAAATAAACAGTGGGGTGTTTTGGAAATGTAGCAAGTGGCCATGTCAGCTGAAAGATACCAAATAATTTTTCAAAAAGAATATGTTGCCACTGAGAAATAGGCCCATGACCAGACTGTAAGTTATGCCATCTTTTGACTGACATCATCAATCAGGCTTCAGTTGGTGAGAAACTCCACTGACTGGTCGCTAGAGTCCACGACAACTGAGGTGTGATTCACCATGGCAGTCAAAAATGATCTTCGCTTGATATTACAGAGGCCCCAGGAATAAAAATTTCTCTTCGAGACAAAGAAATGCATCTCACCACATCACGGGGTAGGTCCTCATCCTCGTCATCCTCTAAGATGATTTCAAGAGGACCTAAGACAACACAGAGTGACAGTCAGTGCATTGGTGATGCTCAGGAATCTCACAAGGAGCTTTGAGAAATGTGGACCGGGCTGGAGTGCATGCAGCTGGTCGTTTGACAAGCATGGACCCAGCTGCTGCTGGACCATTTTCCTTGGTGCTGAAAGAAGGAAAAGGAAAGGGGCAGAGAGGAACGAAAGAGCCTTGGCTTCCTAGCTGGGGCAGCCTCATCAATGTGAAATCGTCATTTGAAGAACCTAATAATACAGAAAGGCAGTGTACTACAGAAACAGAAAGTAGATAAGGGCTGCCTAGGACCAACAGAAAAGTCACTACCAAGCGGGCTTTCTGAGAGGGGAAAGAAGCTTCTAATATTAGACTCTAACAATGGTCGCACAACCCTATAAATAGAGTAAAAACACGGAATCACCTACTTTAAATAAGTGAATTTGTTTGCATACGCACTACGTCTCGGTAACTGTTTAAAAGAAAAAGAATACGTACGGCGGTGACACGAAACGGCGGGCTTCTCCTGCAATAAGAGAAAAAGAAACACCATGAGGATGACATCATGCTGGGTCCCGCTGGCACAGGTCTAATATTCACTTGGTGACGTTAGATAACCAGATGGCAGGCTGGGCGCGGTGGTTCACGCATGTAATCCAGCATGTGGGGAGGCTGAGGCGGGCAGATCATGAGAGCAAGAGGTTGAGGCCATCCTGGCCAACATGGTGAAACGCCGTCTGTACTAAAAACTACAAAAAAACCCGGCGTGGTGGTGGCGAGAACCTTCAGTCCCAGCTACTGGAGAATTGCTTGAATGCAGTAGGAGGACGCTGCAGTGCTCTGAGATCACACCACTGCACTGTAGCCTGGAGACAGAAAGACTCTGTCTCAAAAACTAAACTAAACTAAACAAAAAACCAGATGTCAAGAGTGTTGAAGTCACAGGCCCCAAATGGAGCACAGGGGGCGCTTGCAGAAAATGCAGTGGCTTTGGAATACTTAGCAGGTATCTATGCTGGCTGAAAAATACGAAATTGTATTTCAAGGAGAAAACGTTGCAACTGAGAAATATGCCCCAAACCAAATTGTTAGCTATGCCATCTTTTGATTGACATCGTCAATCAGGCCTCAGTTGGTGAGAAACTCCACTGACTGGTCGCCGGACTCCACGACACCTGAGGTCCGATTCACAATGGCAGTCAAAAAGGATATTCACTTGATATTCCAGAGGCCCCAGAAAGAAAAATTTCTCTTTGAGACAAAGAAATGCATCTTACCTCGTCACGGGGTAGCTCCTCCTCGATGTCTTCTAATATGAGGTCCTGCGGGACCTCAACGGGACCTAAGAGAACACAGAGTGACGGTCAGTGCATTGGTGCTGCTCAGGAATCTCACCAGGGGCTTTGGGAAATGTGGACCGGGCTGGAGGGTATGGAGCTGGGCGTTTGACAAGCACGGACCCAGCTGCTGCTGGACCATTCTCCTTGGTGCTGAAGGAAGGAAAAGGAGAGGGGCAGAAAGAAATGAAAGAGCCTGGCTTCCTAGACAGGGCAACCTCATCAACCTGAATCATCATTTGAAGAACCGGTTAATACAGAAAGGCAGTGTAGTACAGAAAGAGGAAGTAGATTAGGGCTGCCTAGGACCAGGGGCGTGGGGGGTTGGGGAGAACAGAGGAGTCACTACTAAGCGGGTTTTCTGAGGGGGAAAAACAGCTTCTAAAATTAGACTCTAACAATGGTCGCACAACCCTATAAATAGAGTAAAAACACGGAATCACCTACTTTAAATAATTTGTTTGCATACGCACTACGTCTCGGTAACTGTTTAAAAGTAAAAGAATACGTACGGCGGTGACACGAAACGGCGGGCTTCTCCTGCAATAGAGAAAAAAAAACACCATGAGGATGACATCATGCTGGGTCCCGCTGGCACAGGTCTAATATTCACTTGGTGACGTTAGATAACCAGATGGCAGGCTGGGCGCGGTGGTTCACGCATGTAATCCAGCATGTGGGGAGGCTGAGGCGGGCAGATCATGAGGGCAAGAGGTTGAGGCCATCCTGGCCAACATGGTGAAACGCCGTCTGTACTAAAAACTACAAAAAACCCGGCGTGGTGGTGGCGAGAACCTTCAGTCCCAGCTACTCGGGAGGCTGAAGCAGGAGAATTGCTTGAATGCAGTAGGAGGACGCTGCAGTGCTCTGAGATCACACCACTGCACTGTAGCCTGGAGACAGAAAGACTCTGTCTCAAAAACTAAACTAAACTAAACAAAAAAGAGTGTTGAAGTCACAGGCCCCAAATGGAGCACAGGGGGCGCTTGCAGAAAATGCAGTGGCTTTGGAATACTTAGCAGGTATCTATGCTGGCTGAAAAATACGAAATTGTATTTCAAGGAGAAAACGTTGCAACTGAGAAATATGCCCCAAACCAAATTGTTAGCTATGCCATCTTTTGATTGACATCGTCAATCAGGCCTCAGTTGGTGAGAAACTCCACTGACTGGTCGCCGGACTCCACGACACCTGAGGTCCGATTCACAATGGCAGTCAAAAAGGATATTCACTTGATATTCCAGAGGCCCCAGAAAGAAAAATTTCTCTTTGAGACAAAGAAATGCATCTTACCTCGTCACGGGGTAGCTCCTCATCCTCGATGTCTTCTAATATGAGGTCCTGCAGGACCTCAACGGGACCTAAGAGAACACAGAGTGACGGTCAGTGCATTGGTGCTGCTCAGGAATCTCACCAGGGGCTTTGGGAAATGTGGGAGGGTATGGAGCTGGGCGTTTGACAAGCACGGACCCAGCTGCTGCTGGACCATTCTCCTTGGTGCTGAAGGAAGGAAAAGGAGAGGGGCAGAAAGAAATGAAAGAGCCTGGCTTCCTAGACAGGGCAACCTCATCAACCTGAAATCATCATTTGAAGAACCGGTTAATACAGAAAGGCAGTGTAGTACAGAAAGAGGAAGTAGATTAGGGCTGCCTAGGACCAGGGGCGTGGGGGGTTGGGGAGAACAGAGGAGTCACTACTAAGCGGGTTTTCTGAGGGGGAAAAACAGCTTCTAAAATTAGACTCTAACAATGGTCGCACAACCCTATAAATAGAGTAAAAACACGGAATCACCTACTTTAAATAAGTGAATTTGTTTGCATACGCACTACGTCTCGGTAACTGTTTAAAAGTAAAAGAATACGTACGGCGGTGACACGAAACGGCGGGCTTCTCCTGCAATAAGAGAAAAAGAAACACCATGGCTGGGTCCCGCTGGCACAGGTCTAATATTCACTTGGTGACGTTAGATAACCAGATGGCAGGCTGGGCGCGGTGGTTCACGCATGTAATCCAGCATGTGGGGAGGCTGAGGCGGGCAGATCATGAGGGCAAGAGGTTGAGGCCATCCTGGCCAACATGGTGAAACGCCGTCTGTACTAAAAACTACAAAAAAACCGGCGTGGTGGTGGCGAGAACCTTCAGTCCCAGCTACTCGGGAGGCTGAAGCAGGAGAATTGCTTGAATGCAGTAGGAGGACGCTGCAGTGCTCTGAGATCACACCACTGCACTGTAGCCTGGAGACAGAAAGACTCTGTCTCAAAAACTAAACTAAACTAAACAAAAAACCAGATGTCAAAGAGTGTTGAAGTCACAGGCCCCAAATGGAGCACAGGGGGCGCTTGCAGAAAATGCAGTGGCTTTGGAATACTTAGCAGGTATCTATGCTGGCTGAAAAATACGAAAACGTTGCAACTGAGAAATATGCCCCAAACCAAATTGTTAGCTATGCCATCTTTTGATTGACATCGTCAATCAGGCCTCAGTTGGTGAGAAACTCCACTGACTGGTCGCCGGACTCCACGACACCTGAGGTCCGATTCACAATGGCAGTCAAAAAGGATATTCACTTGATATTCCAGAGGCCCCAGAAAGAAAAATTTCTCTTTGAGACAAAGAAATGCATCTTACCTCGTCACGGGGTAGCTCCTCATCCTCGATGTCTTCTAATATGAGGTCCTGCAGGACCTCAACGGGACCTAAGAGAACACAGAGTGACGGTCAGTGCATTGGTGCTGCTCAGGAATCTCACCAGGGGCTTTGGGAAATGTGGACCGGACTGGAGGGTATGGAGCTGGGCGTTTGACAAGCACGGACCCAGCTGCTGCTGGACCATTCTCCTTGGTGCTGAAGGAAGGAAAAGGAGAGGGGCAGAAAGAAATGAAGGGCAACCTCATCAACGTGAAATCATCATTTGAAGAACCGGTTAATAAAGAAAGGCAGTGTAGTACAGAAAGAGGAAGTAGATTAGGGCTGCCTAGGACCAGGGGCGTGGGAGGTTGGGGAGAACAGAGGAGTCACTACTAAGCGGGTTTTCTGAGGGGGAAAAACAGCTTCTAAAATTAGACTCTAACAATGGTCGCACAACCCTATAAATAGAGTAAAAACACGGAATCACCTACTTTAAATAAGTGAATTTGTTTGCATACGCACTACGTCTCAGTAACTGTTTAAAAGTAAAAGAATACGTACGGCGGTGACACGAAACGGCGGGCTTCTCCTGCAATAAGAGAAAAAGAAACACCATGAGGATGACATCATGCTGGGTCCCGCTGGCACAGGTCTAATATTCACTTGGTGACGTTAGATAACCAGATGGCAGGCTGGGCGCGGTGGTTCACGCATGTAATCCAGCATGTGGGGAGGCTGAGGCGGGCAGATCATGAGGGGCAAGAGGTTGAGGCCATCCTGGCCAACATGGTGAAACGCCGTCTGTACTAAAAACTACAAAAAAACCTGGCGTGGTGGTGGCGAGAACCTTCAGTCCCAGCTACTCGGGAGGCTGAAGCAGGAGAATTGCTTGAATGCAGTAGGAGGATGCTGCAGTGCTCTGAGATCACACCACTGCACTGTAGCCTGGAGACAGAAAGACTCTGTCTCAAAAACTAAACTAAACTAAACAAAAAACCAGATGTCAAAGAGTGTTGAAGTCACAGGCCCCAAATGGAGCACAGGGGGTGCTTGCAGAAAATGCAGTGGCTTTGGAATACTTAGCAGGTATCTATGCTGGCTGAAAAATACGAAATTGTATTTCAAGGAGAAAACGTTGCAACTGAGAAATATGCCCCAAACCAAATTGTTAGCTATGCCATCTTTTGATTGACATCGTCAATCAGGCCTCAGTTGGTGAGAAACTCCACTGACTGGTCGCCGGACTCCACGACAGGTCCGATTCACAATGGCAGTCAAAAAGGATATTCACTTGATATTCCAGAGGCCCCAGAAAGAAAAATTTCTCTTTGAGACAAAGAAATGCATCTTACCTCGTCACGGGGTAGCTCCTCATCCTCGATGTCTTCTAATATGAGGTCCTGCGGGACCTCAACGGGACCTAAGAGAACACAGAGTGACGGTCAGTGCATTGGTGCTGCTCAGGAATCTCACCAGGGGCTTTGGGAAATGTGGACCGGACTGGAGGGTATGGAGCTGGGCGTTTGACAAGCACGGACCCAGCTGCTGCTGGACCATTCTCCTTGGTGCTGAAGGAAGGAAAAGGAGAGGGGCAGAAAGAAATGAAAGAGCCTGGCTTCCTAGACAGGGCAACCTCATCAACGTGAAATCGTCATTTGAAGAACCGGTTAATAAAGAAAGGCAGTGTAGTACAGAAAGAGGAAGTAGATTAGGGCTGCCTAGGACCAGGGGCGTGGGAGGTTGGGGAGAACAGGAGTCACTACTAAGCGGGTTTTCTGAGGGGGAAAAATAGCTTCTAAAATTAGACTCTAACAATGGTCGCACAACCCTATAAATAGAGTAAAAACACGGAATCACCTACTTTAAATAAGTGAATTTGTTTGCATACGCACTACGTCTCAGTAACTGTTTAAAAGTAAAAGAATACGTACGGCGGTGACACGAAACGGCGGGCTTCTCCTGCAATAAGAGAAAAAGAAACACCATGAGGATGACATCATGCTGGGTCCCGCTGGCACAGGTCTAATATTCACTTGGTGACGTTAGATAACCAGATGGCAGGCTGGGCGCGGTGGTTCACGCATGTAATCCAGCATGTGGGGAGGCTGAGGCGGGCAGATCATGAGGGCAAGAGGTTGAGGCCATCCTGGCCAACATGGTGAAACGCCGTCTGTACTAAAAACTACAAAAAAACCGGCGTGGTGGTGGCGAGAACCTTCAGTCCCAGCTACTCGGGAGGCTGAAGATTGCTTGAATGCAGTAGGAGGACGCTGCAGTGCTCTGAGATCACACCACTGCACTGTAGCCTGGAGACAGAGAGACTCTGTCTCAAAAACTAAACTAAACTAAACAAAAAACCAGATGTCAAAGAGTGTTGAAGTCACAGGCCCCAAATGGAGCACAGGGGGTGCTTGCAGAAAATGCAGTGGCTTTGGAATACATAGCAGGTATCTATGCTGGCTGAAAAATACGAAATTGTATTTCAAGGAGAAAACGTTGCAACTGAGAAATATGCCCCAAACCAAATTGTTAGCTATGCCATCTTTTGATTGACATCGTCAATCAGGCCTCAGTTGGTGAGAAACTCCACTGACTGGTCGCCGGACTCCACGACACCTGAGGTCCGATTCACAATGGCAGTCAAAAAGGATATTCACTTGATATTCCAGAGGCCCCAGAAAGAAAAATTTCTCTTTGAGACAAAGAAATGCATCTTACCTCGTCACGGGGTAGCTCCTCATGATGTCTTCTAATATGAGGTCCTGCGGGACCTCAACGGGACCTAAGAGAACACAGAGTGACGGTCAGTGCATTGGTGCTGCTCAGGAATCTCACCAGGGGCTTTGGGAAATGTGGACCGGGCTGGAGGGTATGGAGCTGGGCGTTTGACAAGCACGGACCCAGCTGCTGCTGGACCATTCTCCTTGGTGCTGAAGGAAGGAAAAGGAGAGGGGCAGAAAGAAATGAAAGAGCCTGGCTTCCTAGACAGGGCAACCTCATCAACCTGAAATCATCATTTGAAGAACCGGTTAATACAGAAAGGCAGTGTAGTACAGAAAGAGGAAGTAGATTAGGGCTGCCTAGGACCAGGGGCGTGGGGGGTTGGGGAGAACAGAGGAGTCACTACTAAGCGGGTTTTCTGAGGGGGAAAAACAGCTTCTAAAATTAGACTCTAACAATGGTCGCACAACCCTATAAATAGAGTAAAAACACGGAATCACTGTTTGCATACGCACTACGTCTCGGTAACTGTTTAAAAGAAAAAGAATACGTACGGCGGTGACACGAAACGGCGGGCTTCTCCTGCAATAAGAGAAAAAGAAACACCATGAGGATGACATCATGCTGGGTCCTGCTGGCACAGGTCTAATATTCACTTGGTGACGTTAGATAACCAGATGGCAGGCTGGGCGCGGTGGTTCACGCATGTAATCCAGCATGTGGGGAGGCTGAGGCGGGCAGATCATGAGGGCAAGAGGTTGAGGCCATCCTGGCCAACATGGTGAAACGCCGTCTGTACTAAAAACTACAAAAAACCCGGCGTGGTGGTGGCGAGAACCTTCAGTCCCAGCTACTCGGGAGGCTGAAGCAGGAGAATTGCTTGAATGCAGTAGGAGGACGCTGCAGTGCTCTGAGATCACACCACTGCACTGTAGCCTGGAGACAGAAAGACTCTGTCTCAAAAACTAAACTAAACTAAACAAAAAAGTGTTGAAGTCACAGGCCCCAAATGGAGCACAGGGGGCGCTTGCAGAAAATGCAGTGGCTTTGGAATACTTAGCAGGTATCTATGCTGGCTGAAAAATACGAAATTGTATTTCAAGGAGAAAACGTTGCAACTGAGAAATATGCCCCAAACCAAATTGTTAGCTATGCCATCTTTTGATTGACATCGTCAATCAGGCCTCAGTTGGTGAGAAACTCCACTGACTGGTCGCCGGACTCCACGACACCTGAGGTCCGATTCACAATGGCAGTCAAAAAGGATATTCACTTGATATTCCAGAGGCCCCAGAAAGAAAAATTTCTCTTTGAGACAAAGAAATGCATCTTACCTCGTCACGGGGTAGCTCCTCATCCTCGATGTCTTCTAATATGAGGTCATGCGGGGTTTCAACGGGACCTAAGAGAACACAGAGTGACGGTCAGTGCATTGGTGCTGCTCAGGAATCTCACCAGGGGCTTTCGGAAATGTGGAGAGTATGGAGCTGGGCGTTTGACAAGCACGGACCCAGCTGCTGCTGGACCATTCTCCTTGGTGCTGAAGGAAGGAAAAGGAGAGGGGCAGAAAGAAATGAAAGAGCCTGGCTTCCTAGACAGGGCAACCTCATCAACGTGAAATCGTCATTTGAAGAACCGGTTAATACAGAAAGGCAGTGTAGTACAGAAAGAGGAAGTAGATTAGGGCTGCCTAGGACCAGTGGCGTGGGGGGCTTGGGGAGAACAGAGGAGTCACTACTAAGCAGGTTTTCTGAGGGGGAAAAACAGCTTCTAAAATTAGACTCTAACAATGGTCGCACAACCCTATAAATAGAGTAAAAACACGGAATCACCTACTTTAAATAAGTGAATTTGTTTGCATACGCACTACGTCTCAGTAACTGTTTAAAAGAAAAAGAATACGTACGGCGGTAACACCAAACGGTGGGCTTCTTCTGCAATAAGAGAAAAAGAAACACCATGAGCTGGGTCCTGCTGGCACAGGTCTAATATTCACTTGGTGACGTTAGATAACCAGATGGCAGGCTGGGCGCGGTGGTTCACTCATGTAATCCAGCATGTGGGGAGGCTGAGGCGGGCAGATCATGAGGGCAAGAGGTTGAGGCCATCCTGGCCAACATGCTGAAACCCTGTCTGTACTGAAAACTTCAAAAAACCCGGCATGGTGAAACGCCATCTCTACTACAAACTACAAGAACCCGGCATGGTGGTTGTGAGAACCTTCAGTCCCAGCTACTCGGGAGGCTGAGGCAGGAGAATTGCTTGAAAGCAGTAGGAGGACGCTGCAGTGCTCTGAGATCACACCACTGCACTGTAGCCTGGTGACAGAGAGACTCTGTCTCTAAAACAAAACTAAACTAAGCAAAAAACCAAATGTCAAACAGTGATGAAGTCACAGGCCCCAAATAGAGCACGGGATGCTTGCAGAAAATGCAGTGGGTTTGGAATACTTGCTGGCTGAAAAGCACAAAATTATCTTTCAAGGAGAAAATATGGCTACTGAGAAACATGCACAAGACCAGATTCTGAGTTATGCTATCTTTTGACTGACATCGTCAATCAGGCCTCAGTGTGGTCAGAATCTCCACTGACTGGTCGCTAGAGTTCATGACGACTGAGGTCTGATTCACAATGGCAGTCGAAAATAATCTTCACTTGATATTCCAGAGGCCCTAGAAATAAAAATTTCTCTTTGAGACAAAGAAATGCATCTCACCACATCACGGGGTGGCTCATCATCCTTGATGTGTTCCAGGCTGAGGTCTTGTGGGACCTGAACAGCACCTAAGAGAACACGAAGTGACAGTCAGTGCATTGGTGCTGCTGAGGAATCTCACAAGGAGCTTTGGGAAATGTGGACCAGGGTGGAGTGCATGGAGCTGGGCGTTTGACAAGCATGGACCCAGCTGCTGCTGGACCGGGGCAGAAAGAAATGAAAGAGCCTTGGCTTCCTAGCTGGGGCAGCCTCATCAACGTGAAATCGTCATTTGAAGAACCGATTAATACAGAAAGGCAGTGTACTACAGAAACAGGAAGAAGATTAGGGCTGCCTAGAACCAGCGGTGTGGGGGGTTGGGAAAAGCAGAGGAGTCACTACTAAGGGGGTTTTCTGAGGGGGGAAAAAAGCTTCTAAAATTAGACTCTAACAATGGTTGCACAACCCGTAAATAGAGTGAAAACACTGAATCACCTAATTTAAATGGGTGAGTTAGTTTGCATGTCAACTACGTCTCGGTAACTGTTTAAAAGGAAAAGAATACGTACGGTGGCAATACTGGGTGACATGTTTCTCCTGCAATAAGAGAAAAAGAAACATCATGAGGATTACATCATGCTGGGTCCCATTGGCACAGGTCTTGTATTCACTTGTGACATTAGGAAACCAGATGGCAGACTGGGCACGGTGGCTCACACATCCCAGCATGTTGGGAGGCTGAGGCGGGCAGATCATGAGGGCAAGAGATTGAGACCATCCTGGCCAACATGGTGAAACCCCGTCTCTACTAAAAACAAGAAACCCGGCATGGTGGTGGTGAGAACCTTCAGTCCCAGCTACTCGGGAGGCTGAGGCAGGAGAATTGCTTGAATGCAGTAGGAGGACGCTGCAGTGATCTGAGATCACACCACTGCACTGTAGCCTGGTGGCAGAGAGACTGTGTCTCAAAAACAAAACTAAACTAAACCAAAAACCAGATGTCAGTGATGAAGTCACAGGCCCCAAATGGAGAACAAGGGATGCTTGCAGAAAATGCACTGGGTTCGGAATACTTAGCAAGTATCTATGCTGGCTGAAAAATACAAAATTATTTTTCAGGAAGAATATGTTGCTACTGAGAAATACGCTCACTACTAGTTTTTCAGTGATGTCATCTTCTGACTGACATCATCAATCAGGCTTCAGTTGGTCATACCAGTGACTGGTAGCTAGAGTCCATGACAGCTGAGGCCTGATTCACAAGGGCAGTCAGAAATGATACTCACTTGATATTCTAGAAGCCCCCAAAAAAGACATTTGTCTTCAAGACAAAGAAATGCATCTTACTATGTCAGGTGATGTCTCTTTAAGGTTTTCACGTCTCTTTAAGGTTTTCTTCTGGTCTTGAAGAGGAGCTAGGAGAACACAGAGAGACAGTAAGTACACTGGTGATGCTGAGGAATCCCACAAGAAGTTTTGGGGGATGTGGACAGAAGCTGCAGTGTATGGATGGGGGCTGTTGACAAGCATGAAATGAGCTGCCGCTCGGCCACTCTCCTTGGTGCTGAAGGAAGGCAAAGGAGAGGGGAAGAAAGAAATGAAAGAGCCTTGGCTTTCTAGCTCGGGAAACCTCATCAGTGTGAAATAGTCTGCAAACCGGTTAATACAGAACGGCACTGTATGGCTCAGTGAGACCACGTGAAGGTCTAGGCAAATCCCAACATTTTATGAAACGTTACAGGATTATTTAACTTCTGTGGATCTACATATCCTGCTGCTACATTTCTCATCCGTCCTGTTGTATTTTTTAAATTTTAAAAGCTTACATATTTATTATTTTAATTATTAAGTGTGCATTCCAATGATATTATATTTAGTGAGTAACATTCATGATGCTGTGTCAAAAATGAGAAAAATCAAATCTAAATTCATAATCTAGCTTCCGCCTTGGGCATTGAAAGAAAAACAGCAGTATAATCTCGAATTGAGGAAAAATAAATAACGACTGCAGAAATTAATGGAATAAAAACAGGAAATCATCAGAGAAAATCAACAACAACAAAACCAGTTCTTTGAAAAGATCAATAACGCTGATAAACCTCTACCTTTTCTAACCTCAAAGGAAAAGAAGGAAGTCACGATGTACTAATAATATCAGTTCAAGACGAGTTGAATATGTTGTGAACACATCTGTGCTCACACTTGGAAACATTATATGAAATGAGCTAACTTTTTGGATCTGTTTCAGAAGGTTAAACGTCTTCTCATGATAAATGAATCATCTGAATAGGCCTATATTTATATTAGAAATTGAATCAATAATTAGTATCTTCTCAAAAGAACAAAAACACTACCTTCAGATGATTTCACCGGTAAATTCTACCAAAATTTTTACAAAGAAACGTGGTCTTACCGTACGAGCAAGTAACCATAATTTTAGTATTTCCTTACATTTTAAAATTGTGTTTCCAAACAAGACACAAGAAGGTTTGTAATTTCTGTATTCATAATTGCCCAAACTGAAAGCAAATGTCTAAACATTTGAGATGTCCTTTACTATCAAAAGCGAACCAAGCCTGAGCAACACTGTGAAACCCCGTCTCTACAAAAAAAAAAAATAAAATTTAAAAAAAGAGCTTGGTATAAAGCATGTGCATTATAGGCATCTGCTAGGCTGAGGTAGAAGGATCATCTGAACACGGGGAGGTCAAGATTGCAATGAGCTGTGATTGCACCAGTGCACTCCTGGGTGAGAAAATGAGACCTTTTCACAAAAACAAAGAAACAAAAAGAACCAAACTCTAAGTTGCCAATGTAACTTTACTTGTGTAGTTGCATCACCCATTAATTTAATGCATTTAAATGGGCACAAATGAAATAAATGAAGAACATCACATAGCATTTACTGAGTTTCTCTGGGACACTGGATGAGTAAACTGGAATTGTTTGCTTCAATCAACTTAATGATATAATTTCCACCCTACCTTCATTTGCAGTGGGGCAAATTTTTTTACGCCTCCGTTTTTGTACCCAGCTCCTCACGCGGCCAGCCAAACCTGCAAGGTAGAAATGTATTATAATAAAGACAACTCTTGACATCTTGCTGAAATTAGTAAAAACTTATTCAGTTTAAACTTTTGATCCTAGTTTTCACCGACTACTTTTCAATGTACCTGAATTAGATCTGGGATCTAGGAAGATTTGTTTGTCCAGGCAGATACATTTATTCAGATGAGACAATATAGAAAAGCAGAAGATCCAAGTTACCAAGAATAGGCTGGGTTCAAATCCTACTTAGAATCTGCACATACCTGGGAGAGGGATATGAACCCATCTGTGCCTCTCTTCCCTATTCTGAGATGTAAAAACGTTAGTAAATCTATGCTATAGACCTACTAAGGTCTATAGCACCTAAAAGAATGAAATGCAGATAAAGACTTAAAAAGACTCTTTTCTTTTTGTAAATGCCCTAAAATGTTCAATCATTCAATGTCGAGAAGGATAATCCAGATACATGGTAGTGGTTGAATACAGAGAGGAAGCCTGCATGTCTCCTGTGCAAAGTAGGATGGAAAGTGATGTCACAGTTTCCATGGCCACATGATTTCCAGCTCATGACAGAGATCTGTGATTTCCCTGATCCCCACAGAAGGGGCTACAACCCATATTTTCCAATTCAGTGAAATAAGACTCAGACATTTTGAGTGACTTGCCCAGTGTCACCGCAGTGAGGAGTGATAGATCTGAGGTAATAATGTAGTTGGTTCCCCGGGGATAGAGATCCTGGAACACCTGAGTCCTCTAGATCATGCCCTGAACCCTGGACTGAGAGCTCTTCTCACAAGCTTTGTCAAATCCTGCTACCCCAACATTTCTGTGGGATGGTTGAAGCTCTGGAGAGGTGGCAGGTGGCTTAACGCATTACTGACCTACTGTATTATCCCCATGTTGTCACTTTTATTAGTTTGATGACCCATAAGGCAAACATTTTAAGTCTCTCAGTTATGCATGATCAGAGATTTTACCTAAGCCCACTCTTTCTACCCATCAGGTGATTCTCATCTGCTGGGCTAGAGCTGGCCTGATGTAAAAATAACACACGGCATACCATGGAGCTGCTGCGTGCCCCACTCCGGTGAACATGGCATACTTACTATGGAGCTGCTGCGTGCCACGCTCCTGTGAACATGGCATACTATGGAGCTGCTGCGAGCCACGCTCCTGTGCACGTGGCATACCACAGGGCTGCTCCATACCCCAATCCTGGGCACATTCTTGCCTTGCTTCTGCTTTCCCAGCTCTGACAATCCTAATTCTGGCTTCCAAACCAATCCTGTATGTCCCTCTCAGTTCTCAGACTTGCCTCAACTGTTGGATATTTTAATCACTGTTGTAGTGACCATGACTGAACTGTGACATTTCATATACCATACTATATGTTTATCTTTTTATATATTTCTTAATAAAATTTAACTTATTTTTTTCAGACTTTTTAGGAACGTTTCTGGGCTAGGTGTGCTGGCCCATGGCTATAATCCTGACATTTTTAGAGGCTGAGGCAGGAGAATTAGCTTAAGGTCAGAAGTTTAAGACCAACCTGGGCAACACAGTGAGACGTCAATTCTACAAAAAGTGGTGGTGAGCCCTTGTATCCCTAGCTACATGGAAGCCTGTTGTGGGAAGATCATTTGAGCCTAGAAGATTGAGGCTGCAGTGAGCTATGATCACGCCACTGTACTCCAGCCGGGGTAACAAAGCAAGACCCTGTCTCTTCAAAATAAAAAGCATTACTGTGTTACAAGTATCCCCATTTTGTTTCTCATTATCTAATATTGCTGTTTTCATCCTGAGGCTTGATTGCTTTAGTAAGCTTTAGAAAGTTTTTTAGACAAGGTAGTATTTATAGCAGGCCATATGCATGCCTTTTTATAGATTCTAGTTTTATATGCCATATATCTAGAATTTACATTCCTGATCTACTCCGTCTTCTTCTTAGAACCAGCCTCCTCATATGTAACACAAGTATAATTCCCATATTACACCTAACTCAAAACATTGAGAGGATAGAATAAAATCAAAGAGCAGTCTGTATACTACACAAGGCACAATAGATTACAAACCAAAGCTTTCTAACTCAAAGGCGAAAAGTGCACACTTAACATCCTTTGCAGAACCCATAGCAAAATAATATTTTGAGAAACTATGCACTTTGGCTACCCAGTGAAATTAGGAGAAAACTGTCACAGGTCATCAAGACTTCCCCAACGTTATCTTTTATTTTTAAATAATGAAATACCATTATTTCTCCTGCTATCTTTCATGTATATTACTGCACATTCTCCTTTTGGCTTTTCTGAGTACCCTATTCTTGGGAATCACTCCACAGCAATAAAAAGACATCTTACTCTTTTTCACAGCTTCATACTTCTCCTTTATGTACAAGTACCAGCTTATTTTACTAGTCCCTTACTAGGCATGCCAGTTATTTCCAATATTTAACTATTGAAAATAATGCAACAAGAACTCTGCAAATAGTTTGTTTTATATTTACGGAGCATAACTTCAGGATAAAATTCCTCAAAGTAGGATGTCTGGTTCAAATGCATTTTCACGGTTGTGAGATTTCCCCTTCATGGAGTTGAGTCTTTTTGCATTTCTACCAGCAATACATGAATGCAACTTTCCTCACAGCCACACCAAGGAACGTTCTGCCATGGTTTTGGGATTTCCCTCAATAGGAGAGACCCTGCAGTAGAGCTGTCATTTGCCTTTCTTTTATGAGTGAAGATGTGTTTAAAAATCACCTGTATTTCTTTTTCTGTGACTTGTCTATTTACCACTTTATTATCCACTTTTAGTTTCACTTGATTTTTCTCAAGTCCGCCTCTTTCAGGTCATTGTTTTTCTCTTCACTGTCGGTTCTCACCTGAACTACTCCACCAGTCTCCTAGCTGCTCTTCCTGCTTCCACCCTTGCCTGTATTACAGCATATTCACAGAGCTGCTGCTCAGTCTTTTTCTTAGAGAATTAACAGTAATCCTGGGCTATAATCCTCCAGTGGTTTTCCATCTCAACTGAAGTCCATCTTTTCTGTGAGTGTTCACTACATGTACACCCACCTTATTCATCCCAGCATCCTTTTACTCTGCTGCAGCTGCCCTTGTGGCTTTCCCTCCTTTGCCTAAAACTTTGTTTCAAAAGTTTCAAATCAAACTTTGTTTCCATTTCAGGAATTCCAAAGCGGATATCCCTCTCTGGAAGCCCTCTCCCACCATCCTCACAGGGTTCCCCTCACTTTTTTATTTTTAAAACTAAATAAGATGGGGTGTCTCTGTGTTGGCCAGGCTGGTCTTAAACTTCCAGCCTCAAGGAATCCCCTCATCCTGGCTTTCCAAAGTACTGGGATTAAAGGTGGGAGCCACTATACCCAGCTCATTTCACTTTTAAGACTGTTCACATGTCACTTAAAGAGAACATCCTGCTCTTAGCGCCAACCCTCCATCAAACTGCCCTCCTCTTTAATCCATCACCCTGCTTTACTTTCTTCCCAGCACGTCAACACCTGCCATTCTTGACTATTCATGTGCTGGCTGCCCTTACTTCCCTTAAGGGTCAGACTTAGAATGGGGCTCTCTGTTGTGTTCCACTGTTGGCCCTGCATCTGCAACACTGCCAGGCCATTTGAAACTGCTCGATACATATATTTCATTTTACCCCAAACTAGTTAAGTTTCTCCCAATTCTCCCAGATCTGCTAAAGTTTTCTTTTGTTTTATCATCTAAGACAGCATCGGATTTTTAAAACTGGTAGCTATTTAGCATTAAAGACACAAGCTATCAAGATCCACAAAAATATAAATGAAGAATGTTAATGTCTAAAAGTCAATGGTAACTGCAATTTGACACAAGTATATTTAACACTAAAATACCTTAAATACAAAGTGACTCATTTCATCCATTTAATTATGTCACTAGAAAAAATATAATATCTGAATTTTATAACGAGATATCACACCTGTCATCAAAATGTGCTTTATGTGTGTTCTGAATCAAACATGACAGGACTGTTTCTGACTAGGTAAATAAATAGTGCTTTAACCAGTCCGTAGTACACTAAGCAGTTATTCAAAGTCATCAGGTAGAGCAGGGTGCCCTGGCAGGCAAAGACATCCTGGAGTGCTCTCTGGGTGTCAAGTACTGTTTGAGAAACTTACGCCATTATCTCACTGCTTTAAGTAAAAGTTACAAGGCAGCACATATAAAATAATCAGAAAGTTTTATTTTACAAAAAAGTTTGTGAAATAAAATATTATATTCAAATGCATAGCAATAATTTCCAGAAAAACAGTGCTCAAACTGTAACACAAGTGATCTATGGGTATTCTGAGTGTAATAAATAACTTTTCTTTATTTTCTACATCTTTTACATGAAACATACTGATAGTTATTTTAAAAGGAGGGTTCAAAATAGGTACTAGAAAGCTGAAAGACCTGCTGCTCAGAGGTCTCTACATCATATGCCCATGCTTTCCCTTCCCTGACCCCTCACTTGAGAGAGCCAACAAACCAGCAGTCCTATGGTAAGAACACAAAAGGCTGCATGAAAAGTCGATGGGTAGTGATAAAATTGGATAATGAGCTCCTACTATCTTAATCTGTTACTTATATTACCCCCAGTCATATTAGATATACTGCTAAATAAAGGCATGATAGGACAAAACATGTTTGAGTCTGAGATCTAAACTGGGTTCTTAGAGCTTCTCTTTGAAATGGCTTCAAGACACAATGTTCTTTTGAAGTATTTCAGAAGAGAACAATGAAGCAGAGCATTATTTATGGCATAAGTTCCTGAAACAGGACTTGCCACCTAGAGAGCACTCCAGGATGTCTTTCTACAGCAGTGCGCCCTGCTCTGCCTGATGCCTTTAAATAACTGCTTAGTGTGCCACAGAATGGTTGGAGCACTGGTTGCTGTGATATTTGTCTAAGTTACCAAAAGAAATCAATCGTCATTATAGAAAGGCTAAAATGTTTCACATCTAAGTAGGAATTTATCATTTTCCAAAAAACGATACACAATTTTCTGAAATGAAGATATTAACAAACTTTGAATGTGTCTATACTTTATATTGAGTGTTCTGAACATGTTTCTTTCATTTTATTTTCCCAGCCAGGCTGGAGTGTACTGGCGGGATCTCGGCTCACTGCAACCTGCAACTCCCGGATTCAAGTGATTCTCCTGCCTCAGCGTCCCAGGTAGCTGGGATTACAGGTATGTGCCACCATGCCTGGCTAACTTTTGTATACTTAGTAGAGAAGGGGTTGCATCATGTTGGCCAGGCTGGTCCCAAACTCCTGACCTCAGGTAATCTGCCCACCTCGGCCTCCCAAAATGCTGAGATTACAGGCATGAGCCACTGTGCCTGGCCAAAGAATGAACACTGAAATTGAGGTTTCTGTTATCCCTTTACTGAATACCACAAAAACACGTTTGAAGAGACATATAGAAACTTACTGTCATGCACATACACATAAGATGGTAAATTCTGTGCTCACAAATCAACTGCTCTGACTTAACATTTCTTACTCGGGGCCTTGCTTGCCCTCCTGCCAGCTTCTCCTTTCTCCTGACCAGGGCATTCTCAGCTTCAAATCAGTTAGCAGATGAAACTCTTCCACATTTATTAAACTGTTGATTTGACTGGTAAATGCAGGCCATTTTGTTACCCCTACTTTTATCCTTATCTATTTCAATAAATGTATGGACAGAAGGTAGAGCCAGGAGAGATGGCACATGCCTGTATTGTCAGCTTTCCTACAGGCTGAGGCAGCAGGAGTGCTTGAGCCCAGGCCAGGAGTCAGAAGCCTGGGCTCTGTGCCCACAGTGAGGACCCATCTCTTTAGGAGGAAAAACGGAGAGGTAAATGTGTAAAATAAAATGCAAAAAGAACTAATCAAGATGAAAGTTCTAAGAGAGGTCTATGTTATGGGTAGACCTTAAAATATAAGACATTCTGGAGTCTGTCAAGTTCTTTAAGAACTGAGTTTGGACCTCCAATGTCTACTTTGATGACTTAGAACCTCAGTCCTGTTCAGCAGCCGTCTCACACAGTCCCTTCAGATCTCTAAGCCTTCCCTTCTGCATCAGCAACAGCTAGAATATACACAGGTCTTATTTGTATTTGGAAGCTTCCAGTAAGATGTACAGGAAAACATGTTTTACATCCTAAAGAATAAGGAAAAGGCTCACTTTGTTCTCTCACTACCTCATCTGCCAAATCAGACAGAATATCACACAGAGGCTTGCCATACACCACCAAGCAAGGAGTTTCCACAGGTACTTGCATGCTTTGTGTATAAGGTACAATCTATTAAGTCTCATAATTATTTATTCTTTCACAATTTTTCAATACTCTAAAAAGGGAGTACAGCACTTCCTTGTTACAAAGGCACACCCATCATGAGGCTTAATTATTCTGTGAAAGAAGGTAAGAGCCAAACTGAAGTTTAAACACAAGACCTGTAAGACATTTTCTCCATACATCTCTGCCATTAAAATGAAAGAAATGAGCTGATCATATTTCTATGTCTTTATGATATAATGTTTTCTATTTCAGTGGACTTAGTCTTTGTTCAAGGAACTGGTTACCCAGAATTATCTGTTGCTAGATTCATCTATTTCTAAAATCCTAAAGGATTTTAGACTGAAGGCTGCTGGCCCTGGTTGATGCCTGTCACCCAAAAAGCCTATGTCACCTGGTTACCAGGAAACAACCAAGTCAGGCTACTGGCTCACAATGCCCTGCCCCAGAGCCCCACCCAATGGCTCACAATGCCCTGCCCCAGAGCCCCACCCAATGGCTCACAATGCCCTGCCCCAGAGCCCCACCCAATGGCTCACAGTGCCCTGCCCCAGAGCCCCACCCAATGGCTCTCAATGCCCTGCCCCAGAGCCCCACCCAATGGCTCACAATGCCCTGCCCCAGAGCCCCACCCAATGGCTCACAATGCCCTGCCCCACAGCCCCACCCAATGGTGCCCTGCCCCAGAGCCCCACCCAATGGCTCACAATGCCCTGCCCCAGAGCCCCACCCAATGGCTCACAATGCCCTGCCCCAGAGCCCCACCCAATGGCTCACAGTGCCCTGCCCCAGAGCCCCACCCAATGGCTCACAATGCCCATCCCTGCTGCTGCCCACCTGTGGTCACCATTTCCCCCATGTGACTGCATTATTCATCCTGGGCTGCCTGAGCTTTCCAATCATGAGAAAAGTTTGTGGAGGGAAGGGTGGTTGTTATTGGAAGTCACCCTGGGCACTGAACTCAGTAGAAAACCTTGATTACTAATGTCAGTTCCATTAGCATCTCTGGTTTTCTGAGTCTGGGAGCTTTCATTTGCTCAAAAAATGTAGTGATACACAAATGTTTGACTGATTTTGTAACTAAATGCTCCTCTCCCATCTTACAAGTGTTAGTTTTTGTCTTCAATTTGACCACAGCAAAAAAATGAAATGCTTCCTCTCTCCTCCCCTTTCCATCCTGTAGGAAGGGGAGCCATGAAAACAAACTCTTTTCCACCGGCAGTGTCTGGCCTTCTAACTCTCAAGTCTTTACCTTACAAATTCAAGTCAAAAGTCATTTCATCTCTTTTGGAACCTGTAACCATGAGCTAGCTCTACCTGTCTTTCAGAAGGTAAGGAGGTAAAGCCCATGAAGTTACTGGAGTAGTGCCGAAGAGACATTCACATCAAAGTGGGAATTTTTAAGTAATCAGAGCTCCAGGGCTAAACTTTGGGTAAAACCACAGCAAAAACAACTTTTCTACAGCTCTGGCAGTAACATTTCATATCTTTTGCTGTCATTTTAAGCATGTCCCTCAATTTTTCCTTTGGTTTTCAAATTACAATTGGAAGAAGTAAAGCTGCTTCTGTCAAGGTGACTTCAAACCATCTCTTAAGAACACCATATAATCTCTTCCATAGCTCTATTTTAAATTTAAGAACTTTCCAAATATTTGAGTCTGAATTTTCCCATATTAGCTTCCTTATCGAATAGGAGAAAAGAAATGATTGGGCCTTTAACCGGCTCCTTCACTGAGGTACCATAGTAGCTGGATAGGTAAGGCTAGAGAATGGGATGGAGACTCCAAAACTGGAGTATCTGAATTTTCACTGGGGAAAGGGAAAGACTAGACCCAAAATGCCTCAAGCAAGAAGGCTCAACAACAAAGACAAGAGGCGGGACTAGCCTTTGTCCCCCATGCCCAGCCCTGGGAAAGCTGGCTATAGGCAGGAGGGAGCTGAGAGCTGAGGATGTCTCTGGGGTGAGGGGATGGGAAGGAGGTGGGGGAGGTGGTGGCCAGAAAGAAAATGGCACCTGTGGCTTCCTTACCTTTGCGCCGCTTTGACTTGGGCTGCACATGCTGGACCTCCACCACTCCGGCATATACAAAGTCAGGCTCTGCAGTCGTGGATTCTGGTGGTGTAGCTGCCACAGACTGAGTCCCACAACATGACGCCACTGCCTCCCGGCACCCAGGCACAAATGAGGCCAGCCCTGGGGCCTAGGAAGTTCCCCATAGTGACCTATAAGGGGACTTTCAAAACAAAGCAATGCACAAAATCAGAAAAAAAAAAAAACAAAAAAGAACAATGAGAACACGTGGACACAGGGAGGGGAGCACTACACACTGGGGTCTATTGTGGGGAAATAGGGGAAGGACAGCAGGGGGTGGGGAGTTGGAAAAAGATAGCATGGGGAGAAATGCCAGATATAGGTGATGGGGAGGAAGACAGCACATCACACTGCCATGTGTGTACCTATGCAACAATCTCCTCCTCCTCCCACTACCAGCTTCTGACTGAAGGCTGCTGGCCCTGGCTGATGCCTGTTACCCACAAAGCCTCCTATGTCACCTGGTTACCAGGAAACAACAAAGTCAGGCCAGTGGCTCACAATGCCACTTCCCACAACCCCACCCAAAGGCTCACAATGCCCATCCCTGCTGCTGGCCACCCTGCCCCTCTTGGTGCATTATTCATCCTGAGTGGCCTGAGATACTCCATTTTTCACCATAGGCCTCAGAAAACCCAGAAATGTCCCTTCATAGATTCTATATAGAGAGTGTATCTAACCTGTGAATAAAAACAAAGGTTTCATTCTGCATGATAAATCCACAAACACAAAGCATTTTCACAGAATCCTTTGCGGCCCACCTCTCACCTTCAGCTTCCTGTTCTTGGTTATCTGGGCTTCAGTCTTGTATGCTCTGTCGGGTTCTAGGCCTTGTAAGGGTGAGTTCCATGTCTCCACTCATTTATATGTGCCCAGGACAGTTGGCTCTTGGGAGGGTCTTCACGACTGAGGCCATGGATCCTTCGCACTGTTCCTTGAATCCACTTGACACAAAATACTCATCCTGCAGTGATGCTTTGAAAGTGATGCTTTCATTCAATTAGGGGCCAGCTGTATTACGGATCCCTAGCACCCAATACATGGCATATGAGAAATGAATGAAAAATAAGTGAATGAAACTCAAGTGTGCCTACAAGGTGAGAGAAAATGGTCCTACTTACTAGGTGTGCTACGAAGGCATCTGGGACCATTGGCTTTGCTATTTCATAGTAGGCCTGGGGCTTTGAAGGCTGGTATTTCCTCATTCTAAACCTCAAATTCCAATAAATTACCACCAAGTGGACAAAAGTCCATGGGCCAGAGCTCTTGGTGTGAACAACATACCTTTTGTGGGTGTGATTAATGGGCAGGGACTATACAAAACTAAAAAACAATGTTTGTGTGCTGACTACCTGCAAGCCATGGTGATAAAACACTCTGCATACACGATCTTATTCAATGCTTGTTACAAATCCACGAAGTGAATTTTTATGCAAACTTTCTATTCGAGCTTTTTGGAACAAGAGGCTAGTGTGGTGACTTTCACCTACTCGGCAGCAGATTTAGATACTTGTTATCTGATGGCCAATCTCGTTACATGTATACTCCTACATGCTTCTCCTCTCCCTCTCATGATTTATAGCAAATCCCACACATCATATAATTTCCTCCCTGACTCTCTTGGTATATGTCTGTAAAAGATACGATTCTTGTTTGTTCTTTCAAGATAAGGTCTCTGTCAACCAGGCTGGAGTTCAGTGGCATGATCTTGGTTCACTGTGGCCTCTCCTGCCTCAGCTTCCTGAGTAGCTGCAACTACAGACTCACACCACCATGCCAAGCTAATTTTTTAATTTGTATTTTAGTAGAGACAGGGTCTTGCTATGTTGCCCAGGCTGGCCTAGAATTCCTGGATTCAAAGGATCTTCCCATCTTGACCTCCGACACTACTGAGATTATAGGTGTGAAGCGCCATGCCTGGAGACAAGAACTCTTTAAAAAATATAATAATCCCAATACCATCATCAACCAACCATCTCACACCATTGCTCTTTATCACTGTCAACTCTCCTTCTAGCTCCAAATTTCCAGTCATTTCATGTATTTATTGTGTGAATCAGGATCCCTTGGGATTGTTTGATTCACCTCTTAGGGTTTTCTTGATCCTGACAACTTCCCACTTTGATCTCTGTGCTGTCCCTTGCAGTCCATTTATTGAATAAATCAGGTCATTTCCCCATAGTTTGGATTATGCTAAATGTGTTATTATGCTGTTTCTCATACTGTGAATTTTGCTAATTGTATCTTGTGATGTTGGTTAACTTGCTCTTCACTTTGTTCTAGCTTTGATAAATTAGTAGTTTGATCTAAAGACGTGGTGAGATTCAGGTTGGACTTGAGGGTCAGGGCAAAGACTGTGCTAGTTTCTTCTGGGAGGAGTTGTGTAGTTTCTGGACATCTTTTTTTTTAATTGGTGATGTTAATGGCCATTGATCAATTATGGATTGAACAATGAAGGTATTGTTGTATCATTCCTTCTTCATTTATGAGCTGCCATACTTCCAGAAAGAGATACTGCTACCTGAAGGGCCTTGCATGAAGAAAAAAAAGAGATGCTGCTTCTAATAAACTGTGTTACTCACTTGTACAACTTATATAGAAAATGCCAGTTCATGGCTTGATTTCTTCTGCTTAACCATTTTTCAAAATGATGGGCTGTTTCATTTATATCCTTCAATGGTGACCACTTGTATTTATTTATAGACAGGGAGGGTCTAGCTCTGTTGCCCGGGCTGGTATGCAGAGAAGCAGTCATGCCACTATAGCCTCAAACTTCTAGGCTCAGGTGACCCTCCCATCTCAGCTTTCTGAGTAGCTGGGACCAAAGACACATGCCCTCATACTTGAGTAATTTAAAAAATGTTTTGTAGAGACAGAGTCCCCCTATGTTGCACAGGCTGGTCTTAAACTGCTGGATGAAGTGATCCTCCTAACTCAGCCTCCTGGAGTGTTGAAATTACAGGCATGAGGAACTGTGCCAGTCCACTTTTATTTTTTCAAAAGGATCATTATGAATGCAGATATTCAATTCACTGCAACTATTATCCTTATTAATGTATAAAATGTCCTATCTTTGGTTAGGAGTCCCTTCAGATTGGCCCTTCAGACATGTTGAAATCATCCTAATAATCTTTGATGGATTCTTTGCTATCTGGAGTGACAATATGTTCCAGGCTCCTTACACATTTCTGGCCTAGACCTAAAATCAGCACTTTCTCCAAGAAGGCTTCTTTTCTTTCATTGGGCAATGGTATTTTGAGACTATATTGAGACTACAATCTTGGTGCTAGGGGTAAATAGTATAATTTTACAACTTAGAAAACTGCCTGGCTCATGCCTGTAATCCTAGCATGTTCAAAGGCCGAGATGGGTGGATCACCTAAGGTCACAACTTTCAGACCAGCCCGGACAACATGGTGAAACCCCATCTGTACTAAAAATACAATAAATTAGCCAGGCATCATGGCAGGAGCCTGTAATCCCATCACCTTGGGAGGCAGAGACGGGCAGATCACAAGGTCAAGAGATAAGACCATCCTGGCCAACATGGTGAAACCTCGCCTCTACTAAAAATAGAAAAATATTAGGCAGGCACAATGGCACTTACCTGTGGTCCCAGATACTCCGGAGGCTGAGGAGGAAGAATGCTTGAACCCAGGAGGTGGAGGCTGCAGTAAGCCAAGATTGGGCCAGCGCACTCCAGCCTGGTGACAAAGCCGGAATCCGTCTAAAATAAACAAATAAGCCAGTCATAGTGGCTCATGCCTGTAATCCAAGCACTTTGGAGGCAAAGGCGGGCGGATCACCTGAGGGCGAGAGTTCATGACCCACCTGACAAATATGGTGAAACCCCATCTTTAAATGAAAAGAAGAAAGAAAAGTAAATAATAAATAAATAAGTAAATACATGCAAGACTGCCTCTAAATCATTATACAGATAGTTAAGAAAATGAATAAATGCAAGCCTGCACACAAAGTATAAAAATAATGTTGTGAGCCTGGGTCTAAATAAAATAAATGGAGCCCGCCTCTAAATAATCAGCTAGCAAGCTAGATAAATACATAAATCCAAGTCTGCCTCCAAATACTTAAATAAATAAATTCGGCCTGCTTCTCCATTACTACACCAGCAAATAAATAAATAAATAACTGCAAGTCTGCCTCCAAATAAATCAATAGATAAATAAATCAATAAATAAGCAGCCCCACTTGGTGGCTCATGTTTTTAATACCCCACCCATTGGGAGCCTGAGCTGGCTGTATCACCTGAGGTCAGGACATTGAGACCAGCCTGGCCGAGATGGTGAAACAATCCTTGTGTCTATTTTTTTAAAAAAAGGTAAAAATAATTAAATAAATTAATTAAAACATAAATAAATAAATGCAAGCTGGCCTTCCTGTCTCTAAGTAAATAAATCAGAAACTTTGTAAATAAGTAAATAAAGGCTGGGTGAGCTGGCTCAGTCCTGTAATCCCAGCACTTTGGGAGGCCAAGACCGATGGATCACGAGGTCAAGAGACAAGACCACCCCGGCCAACATGGTGAAACCTCGTCTCTACTAAAAAGATAAAAATATTAGCCAAGCTCGGTGGCACTTGCCTGGGGTCCCAGATACTCCAGAGGCTGAGGAGGAAGAATCACTTGAACTCAGGAGGTGGAGGTTGCAGGAAGCCAAGATTGGGCCAGTGCACTCCAGCCTGGTGACAGAACAAGACCCCCTCTAAGATAAATAAACAAACGAACAAACAAATGCCCTATGTCTTAATAGTAAATTGTACTGTTAGGTCTTACAAAAATGAATGTGAAAGGGAATGTTCTGCAAGATGGAACAAAATCGCAAATTTAGATCTTTGTAATTTTTATTGTTAATTTTCTATTATAGAATAACAATAACACTGAAGCACCCTAAAACATATATGAGGGAAAAATCATTCACAATGATTATAGCCTGACATTAACAGTATTTGCATTTTTGTGTTTCCCAAGCCTCTATTTTTCTGTGGATGTCTAGCTATAATCCTTATGTATATGAGTATTTCTATGCATATTTCATAAGGGTCTAATCTTAGTGTGCAAACAATTTTCTATCTTTTCTACCATACTATCTAATATATATATAACACACACATGCACACATATATAGATAAAATTGTATAGGCTCACTAATATTTAGTGACTAAATAATTTTCTATCTTGTGATGTCATACACATATACACACATATGATGCCATGTGATTGCTCAAAACATTAATTTAGTGAATGAAATTTAATGAAATATATAGTTATTGCAAATATCCCTTGACTGTTACTATTAGTTGCCTTCCATTGTTTATCATGATGAATTATGCTGAAATCATTATCTTTATGTACCTAAAACTTTTTTCATAATTTGAATTGATTTCCTAGAAAAACTCTAACAAATAGATTTACTCTATCATAGGTTGTAAACATTTTATGATCCTTGATAAATTATGCTTTTCCAGATGATAATTCACATAAAGACGTCTACAAGATTGCATCTTGACACAATTGGCACCATCACTA